TTTCCATATGTATTTAGATTACAGTATCCAAGAGCACTTCATTGTAGAATAGTCCCAATCGAAAAATTGGCAACATTTGTCCCATTAGGAAGGAAAAATCCTCCCGTATATTATTTAGGTTCAAAATAAAAAACAAATCATTTGAAAGTCACGCGCAATCTTCGCGAAAACTTCTCGTGGAAACATGACAGGGGGATGAATATTTTCACGAATATGTTCGCCACCACAGAAACATAACTAAATATATTGTATTTTTATGATTTATGACAAAACTACGCAAATATTTATTGTTTTTAATATAAGTCATAAAAATAGAATAAATACAATATATTTAGTTATGTTTCTGTGGTGGCGAACATATTCGTGAAAATGTTCACCCCCCCTGTCATGTGTCCACGAGAAGTTTTCGTGACATGACAAGTTACAAAGAATCGAAAGTAACTTTTTAACTAGTTACAAGAATTGCGAAGTAACTTTGTGCTGGTAGCTAGTTACATTTTTTATCTTTGTTACTTTTACCAGTAATTACTTCGTTCCAAAGAATAAGTAATTTAAACAACATTGAGTCTCGTAGCAAGTTACCAGGACTCAGAATTAGAAGAATCGGGTCCGTAAACACGGGCTGGCAACAGGTCAGCAAATTTACGTTTTCAACAAATGGATGAAACATTGCTGACTCTTCGTCACCTGTTTTAGTTGAGATTTCAGTAGCATTCTGTATGATTTGTTATTGAGATGAATTTAGGCTTAACTAATATCCTTTGGTTCCAGTTCAATATCCTGAGGCCAAATAAAAATAATAGTTGGTTTCAGGTTTCCGACCGACCTGTCAAAAATATGACCGACCATGAACATTTTATTGACATTTAAACGTATAGATTGAACATTGTTGACACTAAATATTTAGTTGTTGCTTGTTTCTTTGCATGTCAAGTTTTGTATGTACGCAGGTGAAATCTTGATGTAAAAACAATAAAAACTAAGAGTTTATAATGAGTTTTACCTTATATTTATTGCATACTTGAGATAAATTACTTTTTTAAAATAAAATGTTTTTCCGACCTACCTACCCATATAAAACATGGCTGTGAAACCTGAAACCAACTATTATTTTTATTTGGCCTGAAAGGATAGGTAGGTTCGAAAAGATTTTTTAGAGAAACTTTTTTTGCTTGAAATTGGTCAGCACTGATCATTAATGCGGTTAATTGGTATTGCCAGGTTGGAATCCGTAAAAATTTTACTCCAGAGGTCACGGCAAGTGAACACCGACTAATTACGCCACATCTGGAAATATACTACGATTTTTAATGCAAACGGAAATGGCCACAAAATATCACCTGACCAGTCAGCAGTCAAGAACTTAAATCCAAGTCAGTTGAAGAGTGCCATTTCAAATAAATATCCAAAAAGCTTAAGACCTTAAAATATTACATGGCACCTGTAAATTAGCCCGCGTGCAGGCCCAGGGGAACTGATAGTGGGCCTGCAAGCAAGGCCCGGTATTTTGTAAAACGCCCCTTTTCATAACACGCCCCATTCACGCGTCAATTGTCAAAAAAGAACCAATGACAGCACCCAAATATTAACAAACAAACTCGCATTAAAATGTTGCGGGGTTTTCTCTGCTTATTATAAAGAACATAAACAATGTGTAAATGGCAGCGTTTTAACTCCAAAAAAGCAAGCAACGCAGTCAGTAATTGCCAAATTTGCAAGTGCTCATTTTCAACTAAAATCGGAACAGGCCAATTAGGACGAATTTCAACAGAAAACCAGTCTCAAACTTCAAATCGTGAGGGAAGTCGTGCGACCACATTACATTTATATTATGTGTGCTTCGCTGTCGCCATTGGCATTGTTATAAATAAATTGTCTCACTTATCAGATCGTGTGTGCAATTCTTGTTGGCGGCGGAAAGTACGAAATTTATTTCAGTTATTTCATTTGGTAAAGAACTCTACAAAAGAAGAGAGCGTTCAGAGTCCAGATCGTTTCGTTTCAAACGGCAATTTAATACCGTCTTCTGTTTCGCTCTCTCAGCGAAGCCTTACAAATCGCAAAGTATTTCGAATAGGCTTACATGCAACTGCATCTCAACATCAACCAAAAGATAATTTTCTTGAGGAACATATAACGTATCAATTAGTCTGTTTGAAATTAATGAAACTCAAGTAAAGGTTACTATAGTTTACCCCAGTCGTAATGTTGCTATTCCAACACCTCACGACAAGCAATCCCCATTGGCATAACGGCAAAAACATCTCTTTCTTCAATTAAACAATAAACAGTCTGTTATTGTTCCATTTATAATCGAAAAAAGTGATCAATTTTCGAATTTTGAGCTTATCGAGAGCCTTTGTGATGAATCACTGACCTAATTATAGAATCCAACAGCAAACAGCCAATCAGAATGCCGCGTTCGTGGGCGAACGCGGAAAGTACAAAATACCGGGCCTTGCTTGCAGGCCCACTATCAGTTCCCTTGGGCCTGCACGCGGGCTACCTGTAAATATAATCAGTTTCCCAAGAATCAAGATGTATATTAAGTAAATAATTTGGGATTATTTTTCATCAGAAGGTTCTTCAATCTTCATAATTTACGAATTCTACGGCGTTTTACGCCCCGCCGATGATCAGATGATCATTCATTTGCTCCACACGCCCGCCGATGGCATAAAATATCAATAAATTTTATGCCGGAGGTATCCAGCGTAACACCCACGGATTCCAACCTGGTGGTATTGCCACAACATATAAATATTGCAATTTAAGAAAAATCTGTGTGCAACAAATGCCATTTTTGTGGCACAAAGTGAACAGTGCAAAACAACAGTCTTGATAGGTGTAAGTGAACAAGCCAACCACGACCAAAAAAGCATCAGGGTGTAGAGGAGAAAGGATCGGTTGGGAAATTGGACCACAGGATATTTTTGTTAGAAATATAGTAAAAAATTATAGCGTGTATAAATTTTCCTTAAAACCCAACTGCATTATTTTATTCTAACACCAAACAATTTTACTGGTCAAGGGAGAGCGCTTGCCGACCACAATTCCCAGGCCTGCTTCACTATATATAGTGGCGTATAAAATAATGCTGACAACTTACTGTGTGTTATGTGACCTATTTTTGTAGTTTTATGGATATCTTTCTCAACAACAAAATATGATGCAGGTAGGAATAAATCATGAAGGGTTTTATCAATTTATTACACCTAACCAGGAGCAGTTGCGAGAAATGCAACGTACGCCATTGAGCAACCGAGATCGAACATGCACCCCTGAGCAACAGAGATTGAACATGCGTCCCTGAGCAACAGAGATTGAACATGCACCCCTGAGCAACAGAGATTGAACATGCGCCCCTGAGCAACAGAGATTGAACATGCGCCCCTGAGCAACAGAGATTGAACATGCGCCCCTGAGCAACCGAGATTGAACATGCGCCCCTGAGCAACAGAGATTGAACATGCGCCCCTGAGCAACAGAGATTGAACATGCGCCCCTGAGCAACAGAGATTGAACATGCGCCCCTGAGCAACAGAGATCGAACATGCACCCCTGAGCAACAGAGATTGAACATGCGCCCCTGAGCAACAGAGATTGAACATGCGCCCCTGAGCAACAGAGATTGAACATGCACAGCAACA